TATGAAGCAGCCAGACACTCCACCTAATCTTCTTTTCAATGAACCCTGAATATCTGATACCCATACCCGTCCTTGCCAAAAGCCCACAGCGATCTGATCAAGGCTCAATGTTGCAGGGTGAACCAGACACATTCGTGAGGGTCAAGCTAGATGACGAGGAGAAAAAATCGACGGTGAGGGAACGAACGAAGAACCCGGTCTACAAGGAAGGCTTCGTGTTCCTGGTCCGAAATCCGTGGACGCAGAAGCTAATGCTGGAGGTACAAGCTTTCAAAAGGGTCGGGTTGAGGACGACGCGTTGTTTAGGTGGTTGCTTATAGTTGGCAGAAGGAAGATGTTTATTTCAGATCCACAGATGGTATTTTGAGACGCGTTCAAATGTATTTTCTTTCTTTCTGTTTCATGTGCGTCATCACCACTCTTTCCCTCCCACCCTCCATTTCGTTATCCATTTTATCCACCTTTCTTTTTCTCTTTGTGCACCAACCTTCTTATTATTTACCTTCTTTTTCTTCAACTTCTTAATATCCTACTTAATCTTGGTTCTTCATATTCTTATTCTGCTACTTCGTCTCCTCAAACTCCTTTGTACCTGCATCATTCTTTACCATTTTCGTATTCTTAACCTTCTCTCTCTTCTATTTCAACTCCTCCTTTGCGTAACAACTCGTCCTCCATAAGCCTTTGTCCGTCTTCCCTAATTCCTTCTTCTCCCCTAATTCCTTCTTCCTCCGCAGGTAGTTGAGAGGAAACACGAACGTCATCTAGGCAGAGTGGAGGTGGACCTGAACAGCGTCTTGATTGAACCCAAGTTGGAAGTCAGAGGGAAGGAGTTCGACCTCCAGAGCGATGCAGAGGAAACGGCAACGCTAAAGTTAAACATCATATTGAGGGTGAGCCTCGCAAATGAAATTTCATGTCTGGTTTTCGGTTTATATTTATGTTTTTGGAGGCACTCGCTCCAGCTGGGATGATGTTTGTCAGTATCAGTATCATATTAACGTAGTACTACAAATCTTACGAAAATATCATACATTTTACATTTTATTTTACAAGTCTTGCTCTAAGAGAATAACAAGGCCAATATTATTAAAGTAAAAAAAAATAATCGTTCTTGTAGTGCCAGAGAGAATAAAATATAATTGGAGTTTTTATTATTTTTGGGAGGATTGGAAAAGGCCAAAATGTATACACAGTACGTAGGCGGTAAAATTAAATAGTTATCGGTTATGTGTGGCATATCTAGGAAGAGATTTGGAACTAAAAATATCTTGTTTGATTTATTTATTGTAGAAATTTGTTAGAAGTAGTAACCTCTTTGTATCAACACAAAGTTCATACAAATTCAAGGAACTTCATGTGTGTGTGTGTGTGTGTGTGTGTGTGTGTGTGTGTGTGTGTTTGAGATATTTAGGAGAACGTGATTATTTATTTTAATAATATTGCCTCTGGAAGTGTGATAAGTTTAAATGTAATTCATTTTCTCTGTTTGCAGATCCTAAGGAAAGCAGTTACAGAGAATGGCGAGAGTATTGTTGCTGAATGAGACTAATACTTAAGTTCTTGTATTCACTGTTGATTTGCAAATGAACTCTTTCTTGTTATAAGTAGTAAAGAGAAATGATTTGTAAAAGGGATAACAATTACAAAATAGAAATATGTATCTTAGTATTGATACATACCTCCTGAGTTTTATATTACAAATGAAGAAATAGAAGAGATTAACATTTTTTTACATGGATAATCTGTTCTTAAGCACTGGATTCAGAATTCTTCAAGAGATAAATAGACAATGAGAACCTAGTGAATTGTGTCAAAACTTTTAGGAACTTAAGTATAAACCATCAATAGAAAGGAAGATAATGTAGCATCGTTTGTTTAAGACTTGAAGTAGCCAGACCCAAAGATTCATAATCCCAAAACAATAGGGTATGCTTTCATGATTACCGGAGCTCATTTTGATTTCTTTTGCATATATCTTTGATGATTACCAAATGGCTAATGTATTCTCTTGTCATTATTTGGATTGTTTTTATATCATGAGATTTTTGTTATATAATTATGTAATGATTCTAAGGTCTTGTGTTCTAGTAAAATAATAAATGGAAAAACAAGAAGGGTCTGTCATTCAGAGTCCATTAATGTGAAAAAGGACTCCAGCACCTCTTAGTATTGATGCAGGGAGTGCCAGCACACACACACACACACACACACACACACACACACACACACACATTATCTAAGTGATATCTAAGTACCATCTAGCTAGAAGGATGGTTCTCACTCCCTCTATGCTGCTGTGCATCCCAAGTGCTCTCATCTTGGTTGAATCATTAAAATAATCCTCTCTAGTCAGTCAGCTGGTTCATATCCTGCGCGACATAGCTTAGATGAGGGAGTCCGTGCTCTTAGGTAGTAACTGCTGTTTGAAATGATAGCAAATGAACATCCTGGCTGTATGGGACGACCAGGATTTATTTACCTCGGTACTTTCTGTCGG